GAAGAAGATTTCGTTACAATTATTCGTGCATCGATGAGAACGAACTGTAACCTTGCTCTGACTGACTTATTATTGAGGAGAGGCATACTTTTTCTGGTTCTTATTTATAACATAAAGCTACTTACGATAGATTCTATTAATCTTAATAAGGATATATAAAGTAGCATTATTATTCCTGTTCACATGGAGTCCCTAACCTGTCGTCATGTCTGATTGTCATGTCACAGCTGTCACTTGTGGTTCCGTTTACCAATTGCAACGTTGCCAAGTATATGCGTACATGAGAACCATACATAACACACATAAACGAAGAACTCTATTGGTTTTGTTAGTTATATATATATACATATATATATATATATATATATATATATATATATATATATATATATATATATATATATATTATTATATATATATATATATATTATATATATATTTATATTTATATATATATATATATATATATATATATATATATTTATATATATATATATATATATATATATATATATATATATATATATATACTGTTATGATATGTAAAATCGAGAAAAGTATTGGTTTGCTTATAATATTTCAAAGTTCAAAAAACATAATTATTTTCATGGGTAATAATTGGGTATTGAAAGTATTAACAAAACGTAAAATATGCATAAATTATTTTCTTTGTTAAAATATATTTGAGTGACCCGCATAAGCTTAAGTGAAATTCTAAACAATGGAAGCGGTTTCTTCCAAATAAATGTTGTGCAGTAATTAGGACAATAGAATAGATTTTAGAAAGATATGTTTTTGTTAGTTCTTAAGAATTGGTAGGAAAAGAAATTTTGTAAATTTCAAGTGAAATTTATCACTTTAAAATCATTTTTGTGAAAGAAAAAATATTCACTGGGTTTCCAAGGGTGCAAGGCGAACGGCCGTTGTTCTCGGGTAGTTTCCCAGAGGTAGGAAGCAGTAGCAGTGAAGGTTTGTGAGTTTCCGTGTAGTTAGTGTATCTGACAGAAGCTGATCCAGTAAAAGATTGTAAGTTATATTTTCTACTTATATTCCAAGAGTCACTGTTCAGGCCAACGAGAGATTCAGTTTATTGAGAGAAGAAGAAGTTAGCATAATTTGAACGATTCATGCATTTGAAGGAGATCATTAAGGACGATAAATTTGCAATAATATGTTGTAAGATTGCTGATTACCTAGGGAGCGGCTAAGAGTAGATAGTATAGTCTACCAGGAACAAGGATTTGAACCACTCATCATCAGAGAGAGAGACAGTTTTGTTTTTCTGCAGTTTTTCTTTTATTAATAATACAAATTTTACACTTACTTTAGAAAAGGTATAAATATTTTGATTAGGAGATTTTGAATAATAATTGGGATTTTGAGATTTTAACTAATATTGTTTGTACCAATAATTTTGAAGGTTCACGTACGTAGAACAAAATTTTGAAAATCATTAGATGAGATATTGTTTATTGAAAACATTTGAGTGTGAATTTTATTTTATTTCATTATTTTTATTTCAATATATGTTAGATACTATATGTTTTTTATTATTCCGGTATTCTTTGGACCTTATCTTTCACATGTAATAGCATAGATCTTGAAGCACGAATATAAGCCTGAGTTAAGAGAATTAAAAAGTGTGATAGAATTCTAATCATATCATTTAAATAATTTTAACTAATCTATTAATTAATTAGCTAATTAATTGTTTGGCGCACTAAGACTTTAAATATCGCAATAACTGGCTTCCAAAACGTGGGGCTTAAAAATATCGCAGCTTTACATTTGAAGGAAGGGAAAGAGATCTAGAATAAGCACAGGTGATCCAGAGATAAAAACATATAACATTGAGGGAATTTGAATTTGAAAGTATTTTAACAATTTTTTCCAGTGGATTAAAATTTGATTTATTGATTGATCGTAGTTAGTTGATATTTACTGCTATTGAATTATTTGATTTTTATTTTCTTTACCAATCATACATTTGATATTTATTTTGAATTATTTGAATTTTACTGATTGCATATTTGATATTTGTCGTGAAAATTTATTACAATTGGGGAGAAATATTGTCGTGTCCTGCAACGTGTAGAGTGGTGTAAAATTTCACATTTGGCGGGGACAAAAACATTAACGAAAAGAAACAACATGTCGACCAAAAGGAGTCAAAGCAAAATGCAAGAAAGGAAGGAGGATAACAGAGAAGAGGAAACAATTGTTGAAGAAGGATCGGATAATGAAGGAAATGTTACAATAATAGAGGAAAGAAAGAATAGATATGAAGTATCATTCAAGGTAAATTATTTAAATTTTTCCCATTTCAATTACATAAAAATGAAATTATGTCATATTTACTTTTTCATATTAATAGCACGAATTTATCTTTTTCTTTTCTCTAATTTATATGTAATCTTTGGGAACCTATAAAAACTACACTCACTTTTTTTGCTATTATTAGCACAATTAAATACGCAACATGTATTTCCACACATTTTTGATAAAATTTATGCGTAAAAATAGTTTGTACAATATTCCAATTTTGTCATATTTCGCCGCTACGCACGCTGGCATCGTTTCAATGTACCCCTACCATGGTCACGCACGGAGCGAATATACAAGTTATATAGTCGGTTCACTTAGCTTGTGAATATTTTATCATAGTCATTGTAGGAAGCATAACACACAAATGTCTACCCTACCTAAATATTAGCTGAAATAAACTTACCATCGCTGGCTTCTTTAATTGACGAAAGAAGAATAATTTTTTTTATTTAAAACAAGTATACCACATCAACCACGCAGCGTTATTAGTGGGATGACAAACACAATACGATTTTACTACGATTATGTACATTAAATAGTAAAATACAATTTGACATCTCTTAAATAATTTAATACATTTAAATTTTTATCTGTCAAGATGGATTTGGGGTCGTCTGGAATTCTATGCATTCTTCTTTGATTTTGTAAACATGGGCAATCAAGCAGGAAGTGTTTAACTGTCAATGAAGTGGAGCAGTTATTGCAAATTGGCGGTGGATCTTTACAGAT